GAATTATTACACAGGACTTGATGTTAAAGGAACATTGAACATTAGAACTGGAAGTACGTTTGAAACAACAAAGATCAAAGTATATAAGACTAATGCAATAAGTAGTAAAGTGACTGTAAGTAGTACGTCTACACTTAATCTTAAGAGTATTGAAGTTGTAATGGATGTAGTTAATGATGAACCGATATTTACAGGGGATGTACCATCAAGAATAACTGGTGTTAGTACTAGTAATATGGTAATAAATGGAGCATCATCAAGTACTTGTCAAGCAATAGGAAGTTTCAGTAATTCTGATAATTCAAGAAACACTTTCATAAAAAGTGAAATGTCTGATCTTGGATGCTTATCCAAATTATGGATTGTTTGTTCAAAGAAAACATTATCTTATAAATGTCCAGGCAATACACAATGCACATTCAAAGCATCAACAACAGAACTAAATGCATCTGATAAGGCTAGTTATATTGATCAAGAAAACTGTCCATGTTCTGAAGCAGGGTCAGAAATATTTACCACAGGATGTGAAACAAATATTCCATCGAATGTGTCAGGAATAATCAAGGATATGAAAGGGTCTATTGAGACATTGACTGTAGATACTGATGGAGTAGAGATTGAAACATCAAATGTTTTGAGTATTTCAACAATGAGAATAAGAGGAGTTAATCAGTTTAAAGGAAGTCAAGCTATTAAAGTAGATATTGTTGATATTTTCACGTCACTTCCTACAAGAGTAACGTTTGATAATCCAGTCAGTATTTCAGCAACTCAATTGAGTGGGTCAAGTGTCTTTTTCTTCTTTAAGAATGAAGTTAGTATTATACTTGGAACAACAAAAGGACAAACAATAAAATCAGGAGCATCAGTTTCATTGAGTAGTACACTTAGTAATGATCAAAACATAGAAGTAATAACAACTGAAGAAATGAAAGAAGCCGACTTATTCATAAGTAGTAACAAACAAGTTAAATTAGGAGGAAGTCTTTATTCAAAGACATTAACAATTACAAATACTAAAGAAACAACAGATGAAGAAGCTATGTTTATGATACCAACAGGAAAAGAATTTAATGCAAATAAATTGAAAGTAGTTTCTAGTTATCTAAAGAGTTACAAAATAGTTGAAACATCAGATATTAATTATGTTAATATTGGAGAATATTCAGATGGAGTTTATATTGATAAGTACAAGAGTTATGCAACATATGGAACAAAAGGAAAAAGAAGTTCAGATATTATATGTTCAATGAAAAAAGAAGGAATACAATCAGGAGTTATTGCATTTGATGATAAAAATACAAACACAAGTTGGGATAGAGCAGGATGTTCATGTGATGGAGAGTCATGTCAAGTTAATATGATAAGTGATAGTGATTATCGTATGACCGGAATTAATTATGAATTTGTTAAGAGTATTTTCATAAAGAATGGTAATGATTTAAAAACATATACTAGTGTATTAGAAGGAGATAAGATTCAAGGAGAAAATATTGAAGTTGATACAGGAAATATAGAATTTAGAGTAGGAAAAATTCAAATGAATAAATTAACTATTCAGAAAGAATCTACTATTTCATTTATTGGAATAAACAATACTAGTACAATTGAAAATATTGTTTTAATTAAACCAGGAACTACATCTATTTTAGTTAAAGATGGAATTACTCCATTAACATTAAAAATCAACAATGACAATAATACACTTAATTCTATTACATTACAGAATAGTCGTAGAGTAATAATATCAAACACACAAACTACAATTAATTTAGGAGAAGTTAATATTGAGAATAGTCAGTTATATCTTGATAGTGGAAACTATGAATTTAATGAAAAAACAATCAATTTCATTGTTAACTCAAATGACTTTATGATGGTTATGGGACCAAGTACTCAAATTAATAGTAACAATCGAGAAATAAAAACAATGAATTTCAATATTAAAATTGAAAAAGAATTAGAAGGACCAATATACTTATTAAGAACATCTTATCAAAACTTTATTAGTAGGTTCGGAGTTAAATTCAGAGTCACATCCAATAATCGTCTTAAAGGAGAACCAACGAATGCAAAAGACTCAAAATATGAACTAACACAGGTTTGTCGTATTTATGTTGCATTAGTACCAAAAGGATACACAATAACAGAATGTCCAAAAGATCCATGTGGAACAAATGAAGCAGGTATTTCTTCACAAATAACTA